AAACACACCGCCCTCGAGCCAAGTGGGCTCAGATCAAGGCTCTGCTACTCTGCTGTGTGAGTTTGGGCCAGTCGCTTCACCTCTCTGAGCCTTAGTCTCCTCATGGTAAAATGACGATAGTAATGGTGCCTATCCCTGGGGGTTGTTGAGCGACTAAATGTGAAACCTCTATAATGGTACATGACAATAGTAAGCCCTTGATAAATGTTTATTATTCATGAGATGCTGCGTGTAAAGATCTTAGCGCAGTGCCTAGGACATAGCAAACATCAGGTAAAAGGCATCCACTATCATCATCACCACCGCCACCACCATCATCAGTTAATCCACGGCAACGAGAACTGCGGTGAACAGACATTGCAATTCAAAGCCTCCAAATGTCCTTTAAACTGCCCAGACATAGCTCTACTTTAAGAAAACCTCAAATAAAAGCCCTGAGCTAACACATCTGGGGAGCGATTAGTCACCACAAACAGCAGTGGAGGCACTGGCTAAGGGACTTTAAATACCAGGCCCCCACCGCCACCAAGCATGGGAGTTGGGGTCTCCGCTAGCCAACCTGGCTGCCGGGTTTGGGGGAGGCATCTGTGTGGGGCAGGAACCCTCAAGACTTCTTGTTCAGATGGGCAGCTGTGAAGGAAGGCACTGAGACCCCTGAAGTCCTGCTCACCTTGCCAGCGCATGAGGGAATCAACCTTGTCAGGAAAAGAAAGGTCCCTGGGAGTTGTCACTGCTGGGAACCCCGAGGACCCTCTCGACACATCCATATTTACTAAGATCCAGAAAATGACTCAGAGTGCAGCTAAGAAACTCCTTTCCTTCCTCCTTCTCTCTCCCCTCCCTCCCTTCCTTCATCCTTCTTTTCCTCCCTTCCCCCTCTCATTCATTCTTTCATTCAACAAATATTTATTACACAACTACTACGTGCCAGACACAATCCTATGTGCTACAGACTTTTTTAAAAGGGACCATGACAGACACCACCCTCTGCCTGTACCCAGAGCATCTCTCTCTCTGGCCCTCGAACTATCAATTGCGAAAGCATGCTAGTTCTTCATGAAAGTTCAGGGCTACTGTGACTTGCCCATGGCAGTGCCAAGAATACAGAAGGCACCTACCGCAGAGCTACTGTGACGAGAAAATGAAGGCATACAGCAAGCGCTCAATAAACATCAGCCATTATAAAAAAAACGTGCTCAGCAGTTCACACGCCTACTTTTTTATACCCACTCTGGTAGGGCACTATTATTATCCCGATGGTATCGATGAAGAAACATGGGCCCAGAGGGATTACGTAATTTCTCCCAAATATTAGTATAGAAGCTGGATCTGAAGTCAGGCAGCCTGGCTCTAGAATCCTCTCTTAATCCACTGTCAGCACTGGTGGACAGCGCTGGGCCCTCCCAATCAAACTTGAATTCCTCTTCCCTCTGGGGACAGCCATTCTGTCGTGGAATTCCCAGCTGAGGTGCCCCAGCACATCCTGGCCCCAGCAGCAGTGGCCGTATGGCCCTCGCTGAGCCAACTGCTTGCTCTGTCTTGCTGGAATTTGAATCTTGGGCAAAGCAGGGCAGGAATGGAAACATGGTGGTGCTCTGACAAAGCAGCTGACTAGCTCCCACTTCCTGGCTCATTCGAGCTGCCAGAACTGTCCCCTCCAGCCTTCCTCGAGTCTGTGGCTCCCTGCAGCCTTCCAGTAAATTCCATCTGGTCTTAAGTTTTTTAGCCAGAATTGGATGCTGTGGCTTGTGACTGAGGATCCCCATTCAACCACACCGCCTCTCACTTGACTGGTGCGTGTTGCCCCTTTAACGCTGCCTGGCAAGAGCAGACTCAGACACCCCACTCCCATCGGCACGGCCAGATGGGGACCGGGAGCCCAGTACTCACGTGCCATCAACCTTCTCCATGCCATGGAAGAAGCTAATGCAGTCCGACGTGTTCCTCAAGTTGAAGCACTTCTCGTCGATAAACTGGGCCGAGTTTTTGTCCTCGAGATCCCTCTCCAGAGCATGCTGAGCATCTCGGTTATCCCTGGGGGTTGGGAGGGTAGACAAGGATTTTTCCCTGGATTGTGCACTGATCCAGAATCTCTCACCCAAGGTCACAGGGGAGGTTGGTGCAGAGCCATTGCTCCAAGGCAAGTCTCTGGACTCCCAGGAGGGTGCTCTGTCCATCGCAGTGTCTCCTCTAACCCCTTCCCACCTTGATGCTCCACCACATACCCAGGGGCCTCTCCGCAATCCCTCACCCTTCCCCCAATCCAAGCAGACCTACTATCATTCAGAGCAGAGGTGGGCAAACATTTACTGTAAAGGGTCAAATACTAACTAATTTTGGCTTTGTGGGTCATATGGTCTCTGTAGCAACTACTCAGCTACGCAGGAAAGCAGTCACAGACAATATGTAAATGAATATATGTGGCTGCATTCCAATAAAACTTTATTTATAAAAACAAGTGGCGGGCCAGATTTGGCGCTCCAGCTGAATTTTTCCAACTGATTTAGAAGATACAAATTTATACTTTGGACAAAGCCTAGTATTGATTTAAATCAGTTCACAAATCATTTGCCTCACCCGATACCTAGGACAGAGGGAAAAGACATGAATAAAATGCAGCCACTTACCTTCAAGTCGCTCACAGATTTGCGTAAATAAATATAATAAAACTACATATGGTACAGAATGGGAATAGTGCAGGTTTGTAAAGGATACAGAGTAACATATAAGAGAAAGCCATGACCTCAGAGTGAGGGGGTGGTCAGGGAAGGCTTCCTGGGGAGGTGTCTGAGCTGGGTTTTCCTAATCATAGGAGTACACTTATGGACAGAGTTGGGTGAGGGGGAGATGAGAATTTCAAGCTGAGGACACTACATGTGCAAGAACAGAGGAGCTAGAGACACTCAGGTGTTTAGGGACCTACGAGCATCTCTTGGAGGCTGGACAAATCAGGGGCTGGGTAGAGTGGGAGACTGGGCAGAGGTGAGGAGAGGATTTGGGGTGGGGCCAGGATCTGAACCTTCAGGGCTGGTATCTTCGCTCAGAAGCTGAGACTTAAAGGCCACTGTTTGCCAAACTCTAGCCATTGGAGAATCACCTTCATGATTCCTGTCACGTTCCCAATTTACCTATACTATTATTTACTTGCTATTTTTTTTTTTATTAAGTCACTTTTAAAATATAAAAAAGTGTATTTTAAAAGGAAAATTTCAAGCAGGTTCAGGCCTGGTTAGTACTTAGTTGGGAGACCACCTAGGAAGACCAGGTGCTGTAGGTGTAAAATATAAAAAATAAAAAATAAGAGATCGTAAGGTGACAAGGTCCTTGCAATCTGTGAGGTCAAACAAGGGTCGCCTAAATAAATAAATAAATAAATAAATAAATAAATAAATAAATAAATAAATAAAAGGAGAATCTCCACCACTGTCTTTAAAGGAAAACCAATAATTCTTTCTGTTAATAGGTCACCTCAAACATTAATGCTAAGTAAGCACTAACAGAATCCTAGCTAGAATGTACTGTCTCTAGAACATTCGAAGCCTGAACCTTTTTCTGTTTCCCTCTTGATTCAAAAAAGATTAGTCAGTGTTAAAAACACATGGGCATCAATCGGGACTTTCACCTTAAAACGCTTAGAAGAAGTGAAAGAGCCCAGAGAAGTTACCAACGCAAGTGGAGCACGTCTCCCATGGGTCTCTTCCCCTTCTGCACCCTCTCATTCTCTTCTTCTCCCCCTCTGTCTCTTAGCTTGTCTCTCTGTCTCGGTCTCTATCTCCTTCTGCCTCATCTTCCTTGGTTTCTCTCTGTCCTAAGGCCTCTGCGTGTGTGTCTCTGTCTTCCTTGTCTTCTCTATCTTTTTGCCACTTTATTTTTCTGCTACAGATACTGGGGCTGATGAGGGATTTCAAACGGGCCAGGAAATGAAATCCTGATGGTGGGCCCCCACCTATCAGGATGCTCATGGGGTCGTGTTGGGACAGGAGGAACCCTCCTGGAGTCCTCGGGGCCTTCCAAATTGGCAGAGCCATGGAGACATGGGGCCCTGTCTTGCCTAACAAACTGGAATGTGAAGAAAGACCAGAATGTAGAAAAGAAACATGCCAGAGCATCAGAGGGGAACCTGGGGCCTCAGAATCCCTGCTTAGCCGGTTCAGCCTCCCGGCCCTCACTAATGAGGTCTGGGGTGAGACAGCACAGCCCCAGTCTCCCTTCCTTGTCCCATGATGGAGAGCCCGGCCACTGCCAAGGCTCATCAGGCTGCTGTCCCACCAGGAAAAGCCATAACTTGGCTCCTGCCCTGTCAGAAAGAGCGTTTTCTGTGCCTGGCGAGGTGAAGACATGGTCCTGCCCAGATGGGGGCCCCAGGCCTCACCCAGAAAACCACAAGGCAACAGCCCAGGCCTGTCCATGCCAGAGTGGCCACGTGAGCAGGTCAGCAGCAGAGCCTTCCCACAGAGCCAAGACACACCGAGTTCTGCCCGCTAATGAGGCTCTGGCCAGGTCTAGATTAATTAGGCCGCCCCGGCAGCAGGAGCTGCCTCCCTGCAAGGTGACAAGCATCCTCTGCTAAGTGGGCCAGGGCCCAAGTTCAAATAGCCTCCATCCAGGGTGACTTGGCCTCTGGTCCTGCAAAGGGAAATGTCTTCTGCACTCGCCCCCGTTCCCTCCCCCACACTCTCTGCCTCAGCGGCTTCATCTCTCTCAGCGTCTATCCCAGCATCTCCGTCTCTCTTTTCTTCTTTCTGTGTATCTGTCCTTCTCTATCTCCATCTTTCTCTGTCTCTCACTCACCTCTTGATTTCTCTTTGCCGGGAGCATCTGTGTGTCTCTCTCTGTCCCTCTGTGTCCCTCTGTCTCTCTGCTCCGTCTCTCTGTTTATCACTTCATATCCTCCTTTTTCTGTCTCTCTCTCCCTCTAAGGTCACTGCTTATTCTCTGTCTCCCAGTTGACAGGACTTTCTCCATCTGTCCCAGTCTCTCTGGTTCTCCCAATCCCCCCACCTCTTCCTTTATCGCCTGGGCTTGCACAAGCAACCTCCTCGCAGACAGTTCCAGAATGTCTCTTCCAGGGTCCAGCTCCCCAGTTTCAAGTCTGGGCTTTTTTTTTCACTCTGCTGGCTCCAACTGTCTCATTCCCCAAACTTCAGCCCTCCTGTCACCCTAACGCCGAGTTTTGTCCCAGCCCTACATCAACCGCAAATGGGAAAGCATTCTCCCTCACCAAAAATAGTGATCATAAAAATAAGGAGAGGAAAAATACAATAAAGCCATCTCCCTGCCCAAACTTTTTTGTTTAAATACAAGTATTTAAAGTTTTTAAAAAGCGAATTAATTTACAGACCAATATTAGGCCAACAATAGTCCAAATGGTAGGTGGACTCGTCAGAAATCAGGGCAGAGGCACACGAAGGATGGAATCCGACCCTGCTTTCATCCCTTCAGCTGTCCTTCAACCACTGCTGTATTTGGGCCTCCTTTGGGGCACCTCCACCTCTGAAGTCTCCCTGGGTCCTCTCAATTCGTCTGGCCCTGACCGCACCCTCCGGTCTGCAGGTAGCTTTTCAACACTTCCCTGGATGCTGTATGGTCTTGGCTGATTCTCTCCTATCCCTGTCACCCAATTCTCATTGCCTCAGTGGAGCTGAGTCACGGTCGTGTGCTGGGGGAGGGGCGGGGAGACTACTGTTTCAGGAGTACGGCAAGCTAGGGCACCAACCCCCAGAGCCTATTTGCAAGCTGTCTGGACCCTCATCATTTCCTCTGGGCTGCCCGGGTGCCTCACACAGTGAGAAGGGACAGCCCTGGCCAGGTTGCCGGCCCGTCTCTTGCTGTCTCTCTATCTAAGTGAATGAAGAGAAGCCAGGAGCAGCGTGTCTTACAAGAGTTAAAAGCAAGTGTCCAGCTCAAGGGCCAGGCAGGAAGGCTGCCTGTGGGAGAGCTGGGGGCCAAGGGATGAGCTGTGTGCCCCAAACCCTGTTAAAACTCAAGCCTCCCTTGAATTATGGAGGATGCTCCTGCCTTGTCATGATACCAGTTACATAATCTTCCAAGAGCTAAAAGCTGATTCCTTTTGAAGACTCTTGGCTGAGGCACCCACCAGCTCCCCTCTGGAGATGCCCCGGCCCCTCAACTGGATGCTTAATGCCACCCAATCTCTGCTGCTTCCCCAGGTTCAGAACTCAGATGAGGAAGCCACAGACAGAGTGGTCTCAGAAAGTCCAATTTCTTTTGCCGAGGCCCTTATTGCAAACGAGAAGAACCAGTCAGTGATGTGCTGGCTCATGGAAATCAATGGGTACATCTCAGTAACGTCATGCGGGAAGACTGAAATCAGCCATGGCGGTAGCATTTACATCACTGCAATTGGCAAATGCTACAAATCAGAATTTTTTTTTTCTTTCCTGGGGAGCTGGCTGTTAAACACTTACCGGCATACCACTGACCAAAAGAACCACCTAGAGCCAGGGGGGTCATCTGGCTTGGCTTGCCCTCCAAAACCTGAGGGACCCACAATAAATGTCAAGAGGGAGAGAAAGCAGCCCTTACCGCATCTGGATTTCAATTCTTTGAGCTAGTTTTCTCATTTGTTCTTGGCAACATTTTAGCAAATCTACCTCCTGCAATGAAAAATATCAGAGAGAGGGTGCCCCTTAGAAACTCGGTATCCTGTCTCCCAGGCCAGCACCCCCACTCCTTGCCTCTCACCACCCACCCTCACCCCACAAGGTAAAGTGTCAGGGTGGGGTCCATTTCCTGCCTCAGCCCACATGATCCCAAGACCAGACAGCTAAGGGTCGATGGTGGAGGTGCCACATTCTTTGCCCACTTTCTTCTCTAATTATATACTTCAAGATTAAAAGAAAATCTAGCACCTACTATGTGCCAAGTACTCATTGATAGGTAATTTTATCATTAAATATGCATATGAAGTGGTACAGTGTGTGACATACAGTAGGTGCTCAATAAACACTAGCTCTTGGTATTATTTCTTGAAATTATGATGATAGTGCCCATTTTGGAGATGAAAAGACTGAGAGTCAAATGACCTCCTTACTCCCTGTTCCTTATCTGCAATGTAGGCCCCCACCCAGGGTTTTTGAGCCCTGACTTTGCACGGGGTGAAACACGTGACTTCTGCTCCTGAAAAGTCAGAAAGTTCTCTGACTCCTCCCTCCTCCCTCGGGGACCTGGGCAGATCCAGGAGGCACCTTACCTGGATAAGGTTTTTCTCCACGTTGTCATGGACCAAATCGATCCCGATCCTTTTCTCTCGATGGTACAGACACTCCAGGGCCACCTGTAGGGAGCAGCAGGAAATCGTGCGTTTTCCCCGCAGTCGAACGTAGACCCTGAGTGGTGGGTCTCACATCTATCTTGGTCATGATCTTTTTTATGCCCGGGAAACTTGGAGGCTTCACGTGGCCTCCTCGCTGTGCATCTGGGTGGCTTTCAGCCTCCCCTACTCCCTTATGGGAGGAGCTGTGGGAGTCCATGACTGCAGATGGGTATAATACTGCTGCATATCTCATGGGTTTGCTGTACAGGTTAAGTCCACTTGGCAAGTGTAAAGCTCTCAGAACATGTCAATAAATATTATCTACGAATATACAGTTAACCCTTGAACAACATGGGTTTGCACTGTGTGGGTCCAGCTACATGCGGATTTTTTTTTCAATCAATACTGTGAATATAATTTACTTTCCCTTATGATTTTCTTAATAACATTTTCTTTAGCTTACTTTACTGTAAGAATATAGAATATAATACATATAACACAAAAAGTATGTGTTAATCAACTGTTTGTGTTATCAACAAGGCTTCCAGTCAACAGTAGGCTATATTAGCAGTTAAGTTTGGGGGAAGTGAAAAGTTATATGTGGATTTTTGACTGCGTGGGCGGTTGGTGCCCCCAATGCCCTCATGTCCAGGAGTCAACTAGATGTGAAAACCCTTTTTTAGAGATCTGTAAATGGGGTGGCAGCTTTGGAAAGTGACCAGGGCCAAGGCCCAGGCAACCCTGCCCCATGGCCTGTCCCGCAGACATGAGCAGGCAGAACAGAAGACAGAAGCGGCAGCTCGGGGGAGCTCCCGCGATAGGACACTGAGACTGGGGACTGGGCTGCTGGCCTGTGATGTCACAAAGAGCAGTGGGAGTGAGAAGGCAGCAGGGGAGCAGGACGAGGTGCTGTTGGGATGCCAGTGCATCTGGGGACTCGGGAAGGAGAGGGATCCGCTGACTCCACGATAATTTCCTGAGCCCCTTCTCTGTGTCACCCTCAGTCCAGGTACCGGGGATTCAGCAATGAACTAAACGGACGGCCCTGCTGTGATGGGGTTCTCCCCGAAGGGAGAGAGCATGCACAAGGAAACACACAAAGACGCTCGACCATTTCTGACTGTGATAAGGGCTGTGAAGAAAACAGTCGAGGCAATGCGGGGGTGGGATGGGAAGTAAGGTGTTGGGGTGGTCAGGAAGGACTTTAAGGAGGTGACACTGAGACCTGAGTCACGAGAAGCGGCAGAGCTGAATGAGAACAATGCACCAGAAAGAGGGAAGAGCAGCTGCAAAGTCTGGGGGGGGCAGGGCGAAGGTTGTAGGGGGCGTGGAGTTGCAGGCAGGAAGCCACTGGGGCGGGCGAGGAGAAGTGAGGCTGGAGTGTCGGGCAGGGCTGGGCCATGCAGGGCTAGGTAGGGGCTGTGACCGGGGCTTAGGTGATAGCTAGGGTGCATTGGGAAGCCTCTGGGACGGTTTAGAGAGGGAGTGCGGGCACCCAGTTTAATATTTAAAATCATCCCTCTGGCTGCAGTCTGGAAAATGCGTTGGAGAAGGAGCAGGAGTGGGAGGCCCGGAGGGAGGCAGTCACCTCTGTCCAGGAAGAGGCGCCTGGACTGAGGTGGGAGCCCTGGAGATGGAAAGAAGTGGATGCAACTGAGATGTCTCCGGCCCCTGTGCCAGGGGCCACGTGTGCTGGGCAGAGCTGGGTTTTCCAGACAGGCCGGGGGAGTGAGAGGCGAGTGGGAGAGGAGCGCGTGGATTTGCAATGTTGCCCGGGGTCTTTGAGCAGCAGCCCTGCCCACTCTCATCTCAGGGGAGCAATCTGGGAACACAGGGAAACGGAGGTATCTGCACCCCCACCACCATAATGGTCGGAACCAGTGCCATGTC